TTGTAACACTGTACACATGAACGTTTCTTTTTTCGGTTCACCAAAAGTCTCACTCCAAGCTGAACTCAAATGTTGGCAGCCCTGCTGTGAATGGCCCAGCTGAAGTTGCCGGTAGCTAGTTAGCATGCTAAATTACACATGTTCTCAGGCAAACATGCTTAGCCTCAGAGGCCTGGGCTACACACTGCAATGGAAAACAGAAGGCTATGGTGACAGCTTAGCTACACAACTAGAACTATGCATTTATTGTTTTGGCAGGATGACATAAATAATAGACCTTCAGAAACTAGAGTGTGTTTGGCCAGTGTATGACCTTCTCTCAAATGTCACTGGTTAGTACAGTGAGAGTTCCAAATCAACTTATTATTCAATATCAACTCCAGTCAGTCCAGTTCCAGCTTGCACTTGTGCAACATTTCCCCTACAACTAGAGACCTATGAATTTGAATGTCAAAAGTGGAGGAACCAGGAGGAAGTACCAGAGTAAAATAAATGAAGACTTCTGTCATGCAGTCTTTAGGAGAGCAGGAAGTGTATATGATGAGCAGTCTCACAACATGAGTCAAGACACTTTTCAAACAAAGTGGCCGTTTCTCAATCGCGAGGAAACTGGTTTCCAAGCCAATATTTCAAGGATACTATGTCATCGAGTGCCGCCGAAGGACTGTTCTCCAGCATACTTGGAATTCCACCGAGGCTGCGTCCTTGGTTTGGGGGTAATTTCGAGGCTGCACATGGGTAGACTTTGCGTCCTTAAAATCCCCACAATGCTTTGCGTACGGACCAATTTCCCCAAATCTGTGGCGGAAAATGTAAGGCGGGGCCTCTCTCATGACGCACACCTGCACACTTGCTAGCCTGTTCCACTCTTCGTTTTCCGAATGCCAGGAAGGATTCATGCCTAGCTTCTGAAGCAAGTGACTCGGAAGACATGTGCTACCAAGCAAGTATCCTCGCGATTGAGAAACGGCCCCCATGTGCAGCCCAGTCTATGGTGCAGCCTCGAAATTTCCCCCAAACCAAGGACGCGGCCTCGGTGGAATTCCAAGTATGCTGGAGATTGGAACGGTCCTGCTGTGCCACTTGATGACGTAGCATCCTTGAAATATTGGCTTGGAAGCCAGTATCCTCGAGATTGAGAAACGGCCACCAGCTGCCGGGTCCTGCATGAGCTCAGACCCCTCCTTTTTTATTTTGTATCAATTTTTTATTTTTTTAAAGCTTTATACCCCAAACAGCACTTTAGAAACAGGAAGTGAAATAGAGGGATATGAGGCATGGCTAGAATGGGTGATCTGTTTGATATTTTGAGCAAAACACTTCATAGACATGTTTTTTATATATTTGTATATATCTGACCCCATAACCAACAAATACAGTTACAGATAGATCTCACTGAAACACTTTCCACACAAAACATGTTTTATTATTTGGTGACAGGACACACACACAGATAAAATGTTGCATACAAGTTTCAGACATTCTCCAAACTACATCGACAGCAGGCTTTGCACGACAGGAGAAACACACAAAGCCCAGAGTGGAACAATGGCTAGAGTAACACCACACACACACTAGCAGGTGATAGGATGCAAACACACACACACACACACACACACACACTTAGCAGGTGAGAGGACACACACACACACACACACACACACACACACTTAGCAGGTGAGAGGACACACACTCAGCTAGGCGCACTAAACTTCAGAGTGTCATGATGGTAAATACATTTAGCAGGCGTTATATTGACAGCATGTGATCCTCGTGGCATTTCTTATATCTTTAAAAGCAGCTTCAGGACATTAAATTAAATATGAGGCTTAAAGGGCATTATAAGAAAATAATAAAAGTGACAAAAATCAGGACTTGACCTCAGCGTTCTCGCCACATGATTTACGCTCAGCTGCCAGTCAGTTTCACGACTAAAACTCTTACAGTACATAACAGGGAGTGGTTATATATTAAAGTCTATAATAACGTTGTGGATCTAGGAGAAGTACAACGTTAGCTCTAGCTACGAAAAGAGCTCCTTTCCAAATACTGTTTAATCAGCTACATTTCCCTCATCTCAAAAATACAAGCTCCCTTCTGAATAGTGCCCGGACTTTTTAAAATCACCAACTAGCGGTCGCTCAGTCATGGGGAGGAGCTCCAGTGAAGCTGCTCTCTGATTGGACGTCTCCTCCGGCAGCTGATCTTCAGATGTTCTCGGAGGGTTTGCTCTCTTTGGGTCGGACGCGGGTCACGTGCTCCATCTGACCCGAGTCCGACACGTCGTAGCTCGTCTTGTATTTAGCCAAGATCTTCATCAGGGGGCGGAGCTTCAGCCACCACTGCTCCTTAGGGATCCTGTGGCTGAGGAGACAAGAAGAGTTTAATATTATAATATATATATTATACCCCCTGTAGACTCACTGTACATTCACTCTACCTGTGATGATATGTATTGTGATATCTGTTTTGACAACTACACTTTGACTATGATATTTTGGACAGACTACTATGAACTGTTTAAAATTATTCGACATACTTTAACTATACTACGCATTTGTATAATATTTTCAACATACTATTTTATTAACATGTTTGACAGACAAGACAAGGACTTTTTCAAAATGTTTCACATACTGCATTTTTACAAGTCACTTTGTGGTACAATTAATTGCAGGAGCTGTATTGCTACAAAGTGAAAGTGTTTCTTACACAAAGTCAGTCTCGTCTTTGAGCTGAGAGACGGGCTGGAACACCATGGCTCTGCGGCGCATCCCCAGCAGACAGGCCGTGTCCTCCGAGTTAGTAAACACTCGCCCTGAGGGAGAGAGAGCCGGAGGTTAAAGGTCCCCTAATACAGTATACTGCTTTTCATCAATATATCACAGGTCTCAGATATATACAGAGCCTGTCTCTGATTGGCTGAAACACCAAACAGATCATTGCAGCATTACCCATAATCCCCTCTGTTTCAGCCCTGTTTCAAAAGTGCTGATTCTCTGTCTGTTACTTTAAGGTCCTTACACACCAAGCCGATTTCGATAGATGTCTGGCCGTCCATGAGCGTCCTGTCGCCCTACTCGGATTGGTGTGTCCCGCCCCGTCGTGTCTTTTCGGCCGAGCCGACACCTTCCGCCGCTGTCGGCTAAAGGCCGTCGGCCAAAGAAGTCACTCTGATTGGCTGTTCAGCTTAGCGAATCAGTGCATGAGAAGCGAAACGGAAGTGAGGGACCCAAACAAACTATTAAGAAGACAAATCTGAGATTTCATTTAACTCCAGCTCTCGACACAGGTTCGGGAAAGCCCCGTGAGCTTCTCGCTGTAGAGTGAAAATGGAACGCACGCTATTTGTTGTTGGTTTATATCACGCAGTCTGTTCTTCTTCTCTCGGTTATCACGCAGTCTGTTCTTCTTCTCTCGGCGTATCACACAGTCTGTTCTTCTTCTCTCGGTGTATCACGCAGTCTGTCTTCCTGTAGTTGCCTCTTTTTTATTTATTTTTTATTTTGATATACTTTATTAATCCCCGTGGGGAAATTGTTTCTCTGCATTTGACCCATCCTAGTGTTAGGAGCAGCGTGGCTGCCATTTTGAGCGGCGCCCGGGGAGCAGTGTGGGAACGGTGCCTTGCTCAGGGACACCTCGGTAGCACTTGGTCTTGCCGGGACTTGAACTGG